TTATCTTTTGCTGTCATGATTGAAATTAATTAAATAGGTACTAAAACTGATGCAATTACGTATATACCACTTCGTAAAGTGATGCAATAACATCAAAATAATTTAAAGTATAATAAAGAATAAAATAATATAATATAACAAATTTATAATTATTTTTTAAAGCACGATTGGTTGTAAAATTAAGATGAAATTCAATAGTATTATTAATAAATGTTGTCATTGTAATGCTCATTTTATAATAAATAATAAATGTGTAGATATATTTTAATTTTAAATAGCTTTCAAAAAATTCCAAAAATAAGATTTAAAATTAAATTATTTGACTATATATATATATAAATTACGTGCCTATATATATAGGTACTTAAACAAAGTATTCATAGAACTAGTACATTTTGAAGGAAAATAGTACATTTTTTGAAGGCGCTTCAGTACGTTTTGAAATTTCATTGCGGCAACACTGGACTACACGTCAAACACGTCTAGTGTAGTGTTTACAAATGTTTGACTTTGAGAACAGCTGTTTTCGACTTTCGCAGTAAGTTTACATGAACACCTCAGGAAAAGTTGGATATCTATCAGACTGTGTACTAGCTAACTCAATTACTCAAACATATCGCGAAATGTTTGGTCATTTGTATTATTTATATAGGAGGGGCCCAGAAAAACAGTTCAAAACAGAAACTTCTATTCAGTATAGAATTACGAAATTTGATGAGGTCAAAGACAACGTTTAATAGAAGATAAATAAATTTTAACCGATTCAAATCCACGCATAAAACGATAATTAATGTAAATGTTAATTACTTAGTTTTGATATTCATGATACCTAAATGACCTATTAATTTCATCTCTTGTATATTAATGGTAAATTACTATCTATCTCTAATTAGTAGTGTCTTGCCCTAGTACGTCATGTTTTTTTCTGTTAGCAATAGAGTAGCAGTCATCTCTCTAACTATTTTCGGGAAACATTTTCAATTGAAATAACATGACTTCTGGTTGGCATCGAACGTTCGTATATCCGGACTTCCAGTCACTAATGTGACCGTAGGGTCGGTGTCTCGTTGACACCACGTCAGGAGACCTAAATCTGACACTACCGAGTCTCTGGGGGACTCGTAAATCGCGACGTTACGTCACGCGAGCGGTAGCGGGTGAGTGATTGGGTTTGTAGTAGAGGTGAGGAGAGAGACGAGGAAGTAAATTAATCGGATTCCATGGTTGCTAACAATTAACAATTTTAATGAAACTAAAGGAAATACAGAGAGAGTCAATTTCGGTCATACTTCCCCTATTCAAGAGAGGCCCGTCAAGAGAGAGAGTTTACAAACGAATACCTTGTCGATGGACTGTTCTTTCCACTAGTTCCGAATCTTGTCCGTTCAATGGTGTGGAGGCACGGAGGAGTGTAGAGGCTTAATCAGGCACGAATTTTGCTCTTGGGGTTAATCCTGGGTCACGGTTTTAAATCTGGATCACGACTTTAATTCTGGTGGACGACTTTGTTGGGCGGCCTTTTTGAAGACGACTTTTGTAGAGGGACCTTGGATGACGACTGACCTCGGGGTCTTTTTCCTTTTCTCTTGTTATTCCTCTTGGGTTTTTCCATTAGGTCAGGTGGTTATTGTTAAGGGTCTGGCGTCCAATATAGGCACTCCATCGAAAGTTCCGGGTGACACATCCCTGACTAACTGGATCCGACTCAACAAGGAACAAACTCCGTGGGAAATAATTTTTATGGCTTTTAGCCTAACTTGATAAAACGCTCGAATTTAACCGATTAAAGTTTCCAATAATTCAAATTTAAAATAACACTTTATTGTGGGTCTGTTCGTCCCTCACACTAATATCTGTATATCCAATCTAGTCTTTCATCTATCTAACTCTGTCCACGTGAGTTCGCACGTGGATAACGGTTTGGCCACGTGAAGTTTCCAGCTTTTCTTAGCGTTTATAACACCTAAATTAGGGCAAATTTCCCACAAAAAGTCTTCCCGGGAAGCATTACCTCTTCAGATCACACACGTGTCATATACAAACAAACAAAAATGTTAAAGTAGCTTCATTGACATCAATTACAATAATTGAATGCACGAAATAGATCTTGGAATAACGTTATAATTTTATTTTATCAATTATGTATTAATATTATCAGCATATTATTGTGCAATAACGATTCGCATTGTTTCAAGTTTAAAAAAATCTTCAGCAAATTAACAAATTGCAATTCGAGCTCCTTGTAGAAAAACGAAGCGAAAATGGCTGAAATAAATGAAACTGTGAGTCTAAGTCGCCAATTAAGATAAAGATGATGTATTTTGTATCGTAATTGACGATGAATTCAACGAGCATTGCCCATTTACATTTGACAAATCATTTTCCCTTGTAGGAATTGCCAAAGCCGTCGGTTCCCGAACTCTCCGTCACTCTAAACATATTCTTGGAAGGAATCAGAGCAATTGTCCCCGGAGACAAATACGAGGAAGCTCGAAGATTGGTCGAAGATTATAAAAAGTCGGAAGAAATGCAAAAGCTGCAGGGGTTCTTGAAGGAGTATGCAGAAAGCCATGAAAATTACGTGAGTGTTTCTTCTTTCTCGACATGCCCTTTCACTAGAAATAATAATACACGCCTTAGCAGGTGACCGAATTTTGGCTGAAAGATAATTTGAAAATTCCTTTGCCTCTCCCCATCAACTCCAGTCTGTTCTTCCTGCTGCCAAAGCGGTTATTCAATACGGATGACGAAAGATTTCGGTAATGGTTTCTCGTGAAATAGTCATTTCTAAGTAATTTGTCTTATTGATGAGTGTGTATTATTTTTCAGATTCATTGCCAAATTTATCATCTTTTCGCTTATGTTCAAGGAAAGAGTTGATAGGTAAACAAAATTTAATAGCAAGAAAACAATTATTTACACGAGAAAAACTGTGAGTAAAATGAGTCATTGTACTGTAGAGGTGAATTAAAACAAGAATTTGATGGAAGACAAGAAAAAAAGAATGCACTTTCCATGGCCACGTATCGTCACTTTTTCACGGCTTACAGGAGACCAGGCGCTATTAAAGACGAGCACATTTTTAGTGAAGGTGGTCGCTATTTCATTGTGGTGTGTAACAATCAGGTAATATACAAGAAAACAATACGATTTATCGTCTTTATAACTTTCCGAATTTCAAGTTGACTTTTTAAGATTAAATATATTGCATTAAATTTTTTCCTTCAGGCTTATTAATTAAAAATATCTGTACGTGTATTGCTATACTCTATTAGCGTTCTGGCCGGCGTCATCTTTAAAGAAATATGGGCCTATGATTCCACCTGCCCATAAAGCACACCAAACTGTAACTTTTAATGAACGTAAAGTTACTCAACATTCGCCGCGTTATCGCCGATATACAACCCCGGTTGCTCGATAAAGTGGTCGAAAATTGTTTTTCCCTATTGCGCTTCATTCGAGCCAGCCGTGGAGCCCATATACCCGAAATCATGTTTAAACACTAATGACATAAAATTATCTTTGAATAAAGCCAACACCATGGCCATTAACATTATATTTACGTGTAGTATTTCATTTTAAATTTGTTTACCTCTAAAAAAACACCATATATATTAATAAAATTTTGTTTATTGCTTCGTTACAACTTGCAGGGTAGGTTGGCCGCGTGGGCAAGGTTACATCTTATCTTTCTGTGTGACCCGGTATAGAATCTGAACGAATTGATAAATACCAATTTATCAGATGTGGCGACAGAGATATCTCAGTTGCCATCTCTTACCAGTCCACAGCTTTGTATTGGGCACGCGGAACCCTTAATGAACGTTTGACAGGAATTAATGTAAAAATAAAATTTTCAGAAGAATCTAAATTCTAATTTAAATAAATAAATACGCGTTTTTCTTTTATTTCTTTACAGCACGCTCTCGCCTTAAAACTACCTGATAAAATTTACTTGTCTCCGAACTATATAAGATTTACTATATTTTTTATGAATATAACATTGTAATAAATTAAATCTCTGGCTTAAATCATTCCATTTTTTGACATCAATATTTTCTCATTTACCCGAAAGCAAAAAAAAAGCCAAAATTATGTAGACAAAATACAGTATGATTACAATTAAACTGACCCTATCGAGATTTTTCTAGAGCCCATTTTGCTTGTCAGTGTTTGATGATGGTTAAACATTTTTTTCTAAATTATTGTTTTCTTTAGTCTCCGGTCCCAATTAAAAATTATTTGTATGTACTGTATTTATATGCGAAATTATTCTCCGACTTACGCGGTTACCGCTCGGTCCCACCTATCGCGTAAGTTCGGGGTATTACTGTATCTTCTAAGACCGAAGAGCAATAGATTAATAAACCCTGTAATTGATTTAATTTATTTGTTTAAATTTGAAATTAGCCCAAACCGCTCTTAACAAAAATGTACTTAATGTGGAATTTCACAAGTAGCAATAATGAATAATGCATGATTTTATATCCTTATATAATACAGTAACTTCAGTTTACAAGCCTTTTTTAAAATTTTATATTGTAAGCATTTGAATAGCTTCATCATAACATACATGTATATTGGGTCCAATGCATGGCAAAATCTTTCTGAAACGCTGATATAGATAATGGGGAATTGATTTCCTAAATAAAAAATTTCATCGCCAGATCGCATTTTTCACACAATTTTATACAATGTGGGCAAACTGTTTAAAAAAGAACTGCATTGTAAGCCGGAAAATCATTCCGCGTGCCTTTGTTATCGTTAATAAAGCTCTTACAGAAGAAAGAGTTTTGCCGATAAAAGTGTTTTTTTCAGAACGGCGGCAACACCTTAGCCGCATTGCGAGAATATTTACGATTAAAACCAAAAACCGTCAAGTTTAGACTTCAATTATTTTAATGGAATGTTGCCGGAATTGCTAAATAACTCGTTACTGTTTTTTTTTTTTTATAAGATACAATTATCATTATTTATCGATGGCCAGACACGTATAATGGACGGTGATTCGTCGAATGCGAGCGGTTTTATAATTCACAAGAAAAGAAATAAATAAAAAAACAGGTTCGAATGAGAGGTAAAGTATCTCGGTCACACACGTGTCTGGCTGGAAACCTCCCCCTTTCGCTCGCCGTCACTTTACTTCCAGGTTTAAAATAAACATGATGTTAAGTGCAATTTTGCCTAGAAAGTACAGAAAAACATATGTGCATTCTGCACTTTATCGAATAAATTAATAGAAAAGTTTTTATAAACATTAATTGTCATGTTTGTTGAAAAATTAAAATTCAAAAGTCTTTCTGGAAATATCGCATCAAAATCCCATTTCACTTAAAGTACAATAAAAATTTCATTTATATAACTGATCAATACATATTATTATATAAATATCACTTATATTACATAAGTGACTACGCAGTAAAATTTTAATTCAAAGCTAGCATTCAGTCTGCTTTCTACACGGAAGTGTTGGATTCAGTTTTACGTAAGAAGAGAACAACTGCGAGTGATTGTTTTCAATTAAATTATATATTTTATTTTACCATCACTTAATTCAGTTATTTAAAAAATATGATAAGAATCATCTCGAGCGAAAGTTCCGCGGTTGATAATCAGAAAGAGGAAATATGTCTGCAGTGTTTTCTCTCTTCAGTTACTTCAATTTCGAGGGTCTACGGCTTGGAATTTTTTACTCCTTGCTACTGTGTCTTAAACACTGACGGTCGCTTCCGCACACCTTTCAACTTTTACATCTCGTTTATTGAATGCCTTTATTGGATACATTCCTTTCTTTTTCTATGTATGACAATTCCTTACGTATCGAATGTAACTCCTTGCTTTTCATTGTTCTCGGTATTCGAGTATGACATGTTTGTAAGAGTAGCAGGTGCGACTATCAACTTGGCCATAGCTGTAATATTCAGTATTGTCAGAAGAGTCGAACTGAATCCGAAAATACAATTAAAAAAGTCGTATCGCTTCCCTAAACATCAGTTATATGCTACTGTATATTTTTTTCAACTTCTGGCAGTAATTATAACCGTTACTTTTACGATATCTTATGAATGTATAATCGCTTTTTTACTTTATCCTGCTTTAGAAAAAGGAAAGTCTTTTAAACACGAACCATTTATCTGCTCGATTGAAACCGGTATCTGCGGCATTTTAGTCGTTGGTGGTGTAGTATACATCGTTACGTTTCTCGTTCTGTTTCACTTTACTGTAATGAAGGCATTCGAAAAACTCTCAGAAAATTTGTATCTGACGAGAAAGAACATTCCAAATTTGAAATCTCGACTGAATGAAATTATAGAGCAGCACGATGAACTTTGGAATTTTACCAATCAACTCAACGGACCGTTCAATTACGTATTCACAATATTGTACGGTATTTTGCTAATGGAAACGAATCTAATTTACTTCATTTTCAACTTTTCTGAGTTGAATTTTGCGTTGAAACTTGTCTTTTCTTTGCTCTGCGCTACTCTTACTTTTCTTTGTATTTTAATCGGATTCTCGTTATCCGCATTCACATCTGCTGTAATGTATTTCTGTCGAAAATTCAAGATTCTTCTACATTTGCTGATATTTTAAAATTCGTTATAATATAGCTGTTACGTATAATTATAATATAATAATAGAAATTAATAACTTTTTAGATTTTGAATTTCATGAAAAAATTCGGTAAAGAATCCCTGTGTCTGTCATGCAGAGATTACTTTAAAATTACAAAGAAGTTTCCAATAAAGGTAATATTACTAAGAAAATAAACTACTGTTTTTGTAATTTGTAATGTTTTTTGTAAATCCACCTTTTAATTGAATTTTTGATTAAAACATTTCAGATGGGAAGTTCTCTACATTCCATGTTTTCTGGTCTTTTAAACATAAAGAATGCTTCGAAACGTAAAACTTAATAACTCGAAAGAAGATTGTCCTTTTGAATAACAACCGTAAATGACAATTATTTCTCAAACTATCACGTCGCAACCACTAAAATTTATTAGAATTGACAATTGATTTGCTTTAATTGTCCGATATTTTGTTTTACTCTTGTGGTCACCCGTCATTTAATGAAGATTCACATATTGTAGTAAATTAGGAAATTTCGCGCCGCGATGAGTAATAAATCTTTAAGATCGGCACTCGAAAATTGAGCGAGAAAGTGATAAAACTACACATTAATATTCACGTAGATTTATGTAGATGAATAATACTCGACGATAAAGACACGTAATGATTGTATAATTTAATAATTTCTGATGAAAATCTGAAATAGACTGAAATAATTTAATTTTAACATAAAACGTCGTGAATTATAATTCATCGAAAGACATTTCATTATATAAAACGTTGATCGTAAAAGTCTGGAATACCGCATTCATAATCGTAAATTTAACAGAATTCTCTGTTGTCATAGAAATGAATTGGCCAAAATGGTCGAAATCAATATATCGAACAGTAATGTACTGAATAGGGTTTAGGATGAAAGACACAATCGATTGTTTTCTGTTATTACGGATTTTAAATTTAAAGAAATTGTTTTTAATTATGTAATGATTTGTCGAATTATAATTACAAAAGAGAAAATTTAAACGTTTATAAGCGATAATAAAACAAATAGTCATGAATCTGTTTCTTCAGAGTTTTCTATTTTGAATCATTTGCATTTTTGATATTAATTAAACAAGTTTTTGAAATAGAATAAAAAACAATAGATGCTGTTTTCATATTTTTACTTTTCAGACAATTATAATTAGAAAAAAGAAAACTTTTAATGTACAGTCGACCCCCCTATAATGTAGAGATACGTTCCAATTTATTAGGAATCCGATTTCTTACAAGTCGTTCCAATCACAGCCCGACACGTGTAAAGTTTACGGACTACGGCTGATTGAAAGGTTTTCTTCCATAAAATTAATCGATTCTACACTAATCCGACTCAACATTTCCAAAATACGTATATTTTTTCGTAGTTTTATAGGAATCGTAATTATAGGG